TTCCGTGCACTCTGGCCCGGGCTGCAGGATCACGCAGTGGCGGCCTCACAGGGTGTGTGGTTTCTGCCAAGTCTCTGCCTCCCTAGCCAGACATCTCCCCACTCTGTGCGCACTGGGCTGGGCTGGGACATGTCTTCTGCAACCCTCGTCTATCAGCCGGGCCTTCAAGACCCTGCTCGGCACCGCCTCACCCAGGAGGTCTTCCAGGTTTCTGCTAGGCGCAGATGACCAGGCGCTCTGGGTGCCTTTGTAGCACTGTGTAGATCTTTCTTGGGACTTATCACCTTCTTCCTGGTATCGTGGTTATTTGTGTACTTGTCTTATCTCCCACACCAGAGCGTGAGCTCCTCGGGGGAGGAGCCCGCAGCACACAATTCACCTTTGAATCCCCCCGGCGTGGACCAACTCCGGCACCCGCCCACAGTCAGCTCTCCGGCAGGTTCAAGCGAACTCGGGAACGCTCCAACCACACTATTTCTAACCAGAAATCCATTAGGCTATTTTCCGAAATGTTGGCCGCAGAGATGGTATCTGCCTCCCAGTAACAGGAAGTTTACCGGGGGCTGGAGCCCAGGGTGCAGTGGAGTGACAGTCGGCCCAGCCCGCACTTCCCTGCCCTCCCGACGCTGGCCGGGGATGCCCCATGCCACCAGCCCCGCAAGAGAATCGCGGAGGGAGTGGGAGGGGAGGCCATCCCGCAGGCCCTGGGAAGCTCCGTGCCGGGGCAAGCAAGTGGGAAGGCTCAGTGAGGAGCCGAGCTGGGCGAGGAGGACAGGCCTGGCCGAGCTGGACCGGAGCCGCCACCACCCGAGAGAATGGAAGCAGCCCCAGGGCCGGTGACTAGCCTGGTGGGGCAGGCGGAAGTGGGGTGGGCGTCCGCCCCGTGAGCAGGGCCGGGTGGGGCCACATGTGAGATTTGACATCGGCTCTGCAATGACCACATGTGCTCTCCAGTGCAGCCCCTGGAAGGTGGGCTTTGTCATCACAAGGCTGTTGGCCGAGTGGGAGTAGGGTGGTCGTGGTGAGGGGGCCCTTTCTTTTTAACAAAACAAGACATGAATAACCGTTCATTGTAAGACTCCAACAATACAACCACATGTAAAACAGAAAGCAAAGTCCTCCCCTCACTCTCCTTGAGGCGCACACCACTTGGCTATCTTGGTGGTGCTGCTGCTTGCTGTTAGGATCAGCTCATCCATAAACATCATTAAACACATGCAAACCTTTGCACTCTTTGATGTGTAGGACAAAAGACCTAGAAATGGAATTCCTGGGACATAATGGCAAGTGTTTGACCATTTACAATACGAATAAGTACTGCCCAACTGCCCTGCTGAAAGGTTGTCCCATGTACGTCAACATTCAGATGCCAGCCTGATGTCTTAATGAACTGTCCCCATCTTCTCATGCACCTGACTGGTCTGTCTCCCTACCCAGCACCCACTGCACATCGTCTCCCTTCAAGCAGCAGATGAGAGGGAAGCAAGACCATCTGCTGAGAGGTCACCAGACTGAACTGCCTGACTGTGGCAGTCCACCGATGCCCCTGGGGGGTTCCTAGGAGAAATGGCTCTGCTCCCTCCCTAGGTGTTCGTGTGCTCCCCAAACTCCAGGGGCTCTGTGTGTGCCAACTCACAAGGCACGCAGTAGGTGTCAGTATAGGTGTGCAGAAAGGTACATATTCAGTGCACATCCCATGTGCCAGGCTTCAACTAAGCACCCAGAGCCATCAGGCCAGCCCCTGCCCTCAAGGCCACCGCCTAGTGGGGTGGCAGGTGCAGACTGTGAAAACATGCCCCCAGATACCACTGTAAGTGCCTCCCAGAGGCCTGCTCTGATGACCTAGGGAGCCCTGGGAGATGGCCACAACATGGCCACACTGGAAAACTTGAGCATAGAGCCATGGTGGGAAACCAGGCTCCTGGTTACTACTTCACTAACTGCTGGGTGGTCTTGAGTGAGTGGCCAGTCTCTGAACCCAAACAGTCAGGAATGGCACCTTCCCAGAAGGGATGCTGAGAATGAAACAGGGACCGCGTGGGTCCATCCTGGCACCTTAAAGGGGCTCAGGAACCCGTAGCCAGGACTAGTAAAGCTGGTACTATGTGCTCTTGCTAGGTCTACACGTCGTTCATGAAGACACTCTGGAGAGTTTCCAAAGCCTTTTCTTACCTCATTTTTGTAACTCATTTTGTCTCACCGTGACTTTAAGGGACAGGAATTATTATGCCTGATTTTGCAAGGGGAAAACAGATCCCCAAGACAAAGAGGCAAAGCGCCTTGCTCAGCGTGGAAGACCAGACAGGCAGGCCAGGGCGCGCTCTTTGCCCAGCAAAAGTAAGGCCCAGGGAGGGAGAGTGATTCGCCTGAGGTCACACAGCAGATCAAGGACCGACGCCGGTCCCTGCAGCACCACTCTCCTGCCGCCCATTCCCAGCCTTTACCCTGGGGGCTTTTCCGCCCCGGTGCCCCCCGGTGCTAACACAGCGCCCGTCTCTCGCGCTCCCCCGGGCCTCAGTTTCCACCCGGGAAGCGGGCATCCGTGCGGCGGGGTGCGCGCTGGGCGGGGCCGGGCCCTGACTCAGCCGGGCGGGCCGCGGGCTGCCGAGCCGGTCCGACCGGCCGCGATGCAAACGAGCCGCGGG